CTGTTCCTTCTGCTCTTCCTGGTCCTGCTCCTGCTGCTCGAGGACGCTGGAGCCCAGCAAGGTGAGTGGTTCCTGGGGAAGGCGCGGGGCATGGAGCCCCACGGGCGGCGGGGGCGCGGGGAGGGCCTGCGGGGCGCCAGGGCTGCGGGCCCTGAGCCGAGTCAGCCACACGCCGGGAAGGTGCGGGGTGCCTTCCGCGCGTGGGCAGACCGGGGCCGGCGCTCTCCAGGCTGAGTTGCAAAGCTAGGATCAGCCTGTTGTCCCCCAGCGTGGCGCGGCTGTACTTTTTTTTTTTTTGGCGAGGCCATTCATTTTCCTGAAAAGAGGGGAGCGAGACCCTGCTATCAAGGCCGCCTTTTTGGTATTGGATTATTTTTCTAGGGAAAATCTTTGGGGGAGGAAAAAAAGATGTACTGGAGACATGACGCCTAAAGTTAAGCTAAATGGATGAGTAGACAGTAGAAAGGCAAGGTAATTAAATAGCACCTTCAACCTATTAAAGGCAAGTGGCGGTAACTACTATCTTTTGTGCAAGTTCTCAGGTTCAACAGCGAATGAAATTGATCCTGGTTATCTTTGAGTCTTGGGTTTAGGAAGTGTACTTGACAGTCCCTGGTGGTTAATTAGTCTGGATGGTGGTCTCGATTCTAGACTCTAGATTGCCTGGGTCCAACGCTGGCTCTGACCCAGTGCAGCCTCTTATGTTACCTCAATGGGACTTTCCACGTTAAAAGGGTAAGATGGTCCAGAAAGGGACAAAACTTTTTTTTTCTGTCTACAACCCTTGGAAAACCTATGGAAGAAGCAAGCAAAATTGTTTATTGAATAGTCACTGTGATGGAAAGAGAATGCCGTGCTGATGCACCCTCCACCCTTTTTGTACTATTTTTCAGGCGGTGAACCGTAATTTTTGAATCCGTTTGGCATCATTATTGAACATATTTTCCATTGCATTTCCCAGTGAGCAGGATTGTTACTTATTTCTGGGAAGATTATTTTTTTAATTGATCTCCACGTTTAAGTCCAGCTTACTGTTGCTCTCATAGGGTTTTCAGTAAAGAATGGAATCTTGGCCGTAAGCCTGTCGTGAGGATGCTGAGACTTTGACAGGCACATGGGGATATATCTCTAACTGTAAAGAAAAAAACATATTTGGTAAACGGACCTCTTTTAGAGTTAGGCATCTCTATGCAATGTAGATGCTTAGCATTCAGGTTTTAGATAATCTTCAGTAAATTTTTGAACATTGGCCCTTAATAAGTTAGAGTGTGAAATCCTTCTTTTCATTGAAGTCCTAGAGCCTGTGCTTGTATTTTCCTCCTAGTAGGGAAAAACGCACATAACAAAAAACAGGCTTATATATGGCTAACCCTTATTGGGGCTTGCTTTGTGGCAGGCACAGTACCAAGTGGTTTACATGTATTAACTCAATCCTCACCACAAACGTTTGAGGTAGATATTGTTATCCCATTTCAAACATAGGAAACAGGCCAAAAAAATGTAAGGTACCTTGGTATAGAAAGGAATATAACTACCTAAGCAGAAAACATGTTTTTAAAAAAATATTTGAACAATGTAGAATGTTACATGTCTCCCCCCAAATGAGACAATTGCCTTGGTATTTAGAATTTCACAAGCCTGATCTAATTAAACATGCAACATTCATTACATTTTAAACAATATTTTATTTCAGTTCTTACCATTATTTTAACAAATATGTTTGTCTTTCACAGTGTTATCTTTTTTTAAAACATGTTTTTATTGATTTCAGAGAGAGAGAGAGAGAGAGAGAGAGAGAGAGAAACATCAATGATGAGAGTCATTGATTGGCTGTCTCCTGCATGCCCCCTACTGGGAATATTACTTGCAACCCAGGAATGGGCCTGCAACCTGGAATGGAACTGTAATCACTTGGTTCATAGGTCTATGCTCAACCACTGAACCATACCAGCTGGGATCACAGTATTATCCTATATAATAAAAGGCTGATATGCAAATTGTCCCCTTAGAAGTTCAACTGGGAGTTCGATCACTTGCTATGACGTGCACTGACTACCAGGGGGTGGCGTGGAACATGGTGGGTGACCAGCAGAGGCAGCAGGTTGCTGAGGGAGCCAGGGAAGGAGGAGGCGGGGAACTGCATGGTAACAGCATGGGCAGCGAGGGAAGGAGGAGGCAGGGAACCTGATTGGCCCTGATCGATAGCCAGGCCTAGGGACCCTACCCATGCACGAATTTCATGCACCAGGCCTCTAGTCCTATATAATAAAACCCTAATATGCGAATTGACCAAATGATGGAACAACTGTTCACTGTGATGCACAATGACCACAAAGGGGCAGACACTTAACACAGGAGCTGCCCCCTGATGGTCAGTGCACTCCCACAGAGGGAGTGCTGCTCAGCCAAAAGCTTGGCTCATGGCTGGCAAGCGCAGTGGTGGTGGCGGGAGCCTCTCCTGCCTCTGGTGCAGGCAGATGGTAAGGAACGAGGGGTCCCGGACTGCAAGAGGGATGTTTGACTGCCAGGTTAGGCACAGAGGGCGCAGGCTGGGCTGAGGAACCCCCTCTCGCCCCCAGTGCACAAATGTGCACCAGGCCTCTAGTCTTATATAAACACAAATGTAGATTAAACTCAAATAGAAATGATGTTGGTAATTTAAAAGACCTAATTTCTAGTTCTTCAAAATTGGGTAAATATTAAGTCATATGTCATGGTTGGTAGGAGAATACATACCTTTTTTTCCTTTTTTAATAATTTTATTTTTCAATTACAGTTGACATTCAATATTGTTTCGTATTAGCTTCAGGTGTACAGCATAATGATTAGACACCTTTGTCCTTTACAAAGTGATTTTTCTGCCTCCCATCCCTCCATATTTCCAGTACCCTACCTGCCACCGTATATAGTTATTACAATATTTTTGACTCTGTTCCCTATGCTGTACTTTACATTCCAGTGACTATTTTATAACTACCAATTTGTACTTCGTAATCCCTTCATAACTATTTCATAATTTAATGAAAATGAAATGATAGTACACAAGAGTTTTTCAAAGGGGAAAGTATAACTTAGCTGTAACTGATCATTGTCTAATCTTGAACTTACTAAATTATCTGATAAAATAAGGACCAATTAGGTATATATCACCTGAAAACTCAGGAATTGTGTGGGATTTAAACTCCCTGCTTTTTTAAAATTGTATTTTCATACCCAAAGGACCGTGAAGCAGTCTGTGGTGGAATTGCTTTTAAACCAGTCTGTGTAGTCTAACAGATGTGCTTTAAGGGTCCACTGGTGTTCCTCGCATAACCTGAAAAGAAGGCGATTTCAGAATGAGAAGCAGTGCTTTGAAACACCTATGCAGTGGTTCTTAACTTTCCTAATGCCGCGACCCTTTAATACAGTTCCTCATGTTGTGGTGAGCCCAACCATAAAATTATTTTTGTTGCTACTTCATAACTGTAATTTCGCTACTGTTATGAATCATAATGTAATTATCTGATATGCTATATGTGTTTTCCGATGGCCGCGACCCACAGGTTGAGAACCGCTGACCTATAGAATTTTTAACAGTGTAAGTGTCTACATAGTATTAGGAAAAATACTGGAAGGAAATAAAATGGTAACAGTTGTCTTTTGCTAATACAGTTGTGGGTAATTTCTTCTTTATGCTTCTTCAAACTGAAGTTTGCATATAGGCAGAATTAAAAATGTGCTATGTAAAATGTTTTTGATAGTTTTTTTTTCAAACAGCATAAGGAGAATGCATGTTATATGCAGAGTGGGGCAAAAGTAGGTTTACAGTTGTTTGTATGGAAAATAATGCAATAATTAGTAAATTATAATACAAGAATAAAGTCTGTTTGGCATAATCACAATTGTAAGCCTACTTTTGCCTTAGCCTATAGATGTGGAGGTAGAATGTTGCTTCAGGGTTTTTTTTTTTGCTTTGTTTTATCTTTCAGACATCATTTTAAAATAGAGACCACCTTCATTTCAATTAATGCCATACATAGCTATTCCTCAGGTTTTCTGCTGACAGACTGATTTTTCTTTTTATTTGGCTCAGTAAAACTCACTATTGGTCTGAAAACTTATCAGCCTTTCAAAACAGCAGAGATGTTTTTTGACCAATCTCATATCATTAACCTATTTACTCACATCTGTTTTACTATCGTGGTGTTTTAGATATGGGTTATAGTTGTCTGTTTTTATTTGTAAATTTCATATTACGTTCCTCTTCAAACTTTTTTTTTATTGAAACCGTTTCCCCCCCCCGTAAAATGTACATCTTTGTAAAACACTTAAATTGGTGAAACTTACGCTGGTTGCATATTGGCTACTGTAATACATTTACTTAATAGAAAAGCGAGGGTCGCCCATGAATGATTTATGACTCTGGTTTACATTATGATTGTAGGAATTTGTGTCATCTCATTTCAGGAGCTCAGCTTCCTCATTTGTATCATGGAAGGCTTGCCTATCTTTGGGGTTAGAATATTATTTGAATGTGGAGTGAATTTTAAAATCCATTAAGAACTGACTTGTTTACTAATATTAATGTGAAATATTTGTGAAGATACAAATTTTTGCTTCCTAATTTAATAAACCTATAAGACAAATCAGATTCTTTTGTAAAAAGATTTCAGTTCCACAATGGTATTTGGAACTAATGTGTGTGGGGGAATTATATAGTGTCAAGTAATGCTTTTATTTCCTTTTGATTCAGGGAAATATTTTTGAACAATATTTGTAAATTGTCTAAATTGAAGAGCACATCTCCCTTTGCAAAGAACATTTGTAATTATTTTTGGTATTAACATTAAGTTAATTTAGAATTTTCCATTGTCTTTCTTGGTGTGATAAAACATTAAGATTCTTTATGTAATTTGTTCAGAGGCAAAAATCAAAGCATCTTTTTTTCTGCTATATTTCTGATTAATTTTGCACAGTGGATAGTAGAAATATAGCACATATTCCACATATGCTAATGATCAGATTAAAATCCTCATTTTTTTAAAACTTATAAATGAAAAATTAATTTTAAAATTGCAGGTT